GGCGGGGGGAGCCAACCCATATTGGTTGAGATATGGCGGTTCAACTTTTCAACCTGGGCTTTTGTGTCTGCTTACTTGAAGGGTTAGGACAGGGGTGGGCGACTATGGCCTGTGGGCTCAATCTGGCCCACACAGGATCCCAACCTGGCTGGTATAGCTCTGAATCATCAGAGGGAGTCAGCTTTTGGGATGGAAAGCGGAGATGAAGCCCCAGCCGAAGTTGGTAAGGGCAAGGAGCAAGTTTCCGACTGCCCTGGCTTGGCACGGTTTCTGCCATCCGTGTGCCAAGAATGCGGAGGAAGTTTGGCATTGTGACTAAGCTGGCCAACAAGGAAACCTTTCCAGCCCCAAGGAATTGCTACCGAGGGTGGATTCCCAGGGAATGTATTGCAACTGAGGGAAGCCTGGCCAAATGTAAGAAAAACAAGGAGAAGACAAAGCTGGGTCGGAGCTAGTCTTGAAAGGGAGAGCGAGGTCCAAGCAAGGCTGCATTCACACAGCCAGTGTGGTGAAAGAGTCGAGGGCTGCGTTCGTATGACCTGCTGCGCTCGGTGGGTTTGAACCTGGGTTGTTGTTATTTCTTGAACTTTAGCTAGCTTAGTTTCATATGGTTCGGAGTATTGGGCAACAGCCACAAAATGGATTAATTCAATAACCAGCTCAAATGGGCTGTGTGAACACAATCTAAACAAAATTCATTATCTCCCACTCCAAATTATTAGGAGTTTGTTCATTCGTTCTCTCTCTCTCTCTCTTTCTTTCTCTCTTTTTCTTCTTCTCTTTCTCTCTCATGCACACACCCTGAGGACGCACAACAGCCCTGAGAGGTAGTCTAGGCCAAGAGAGGGTGATGGGCTGTGTCCTAGCAGGCATCTGCCCAAGTGAAGATTTCATCCAAGATCTCCCAGTCCTCTTCTGATGCAGCCACCACTACCACCACACCATTACTGTGCCCGCGAGCTGGGCCCATTGAAAGCTGCACAACGTACTTCAGAATAGACAAATATTGGCCAGCGCATCGTATGCTCTTGACATTCCTGGAAATAAGTCCCAACATCCAAATAAACAGCTGGAAACAAAGGTTGCCCTTGGACACTTCACCCAGTTAGTAGATAACTTAGAAGGAATTATAGGTTGTCCTCAGTTTAAGAACAAGTTCCGTTCCCAAGGTTTGTCCGTAAGTCGAATTTGTACGTAAGTCGGAACAGTATTCTCGTATAATACTATATAAGCAGTATTGTGTAATGAACTCAAACCATTGTGGATTTAACTCGAACGTTGCTACAGTAGGCTCCGATCTTAACTATGGGTAGTCCATAAACCTGGCATTTTTAACTTGGAGACAGGGAAGAGTTTCCAGACCTGGCTGTTAAAAAGCAAGACTTGCCTATCTCTGGGGTTGTCTGAAACGTTCCTCTTTTTCCTTCCACAGTTCTGCTGAGTGAATGGGTGGATGACGGCGATGTGAGCGGGAAGACCCTAAAGATCACCGATTTTGGGCTGGCCCGGGAATGGCACAAAACTACCAAAATGAGCGCGGCTGGGACTTACGCCTGGATGGCACCGGAGGTCATCAAAAACTCCACTTTTTCCCGGGGTAGCGACATTTGGAGGTAAGATGGGGAGACAGAATCAGGTTCCTTCAGATCAGTGTTTCCCAACCTCAGCCACTTTAAGATGTGTGGACTTCAACTGGCTGGGGAATTCTGCTGGCTGGCTGGGGAATTCTGGGAGTTGAAGTCCATACATCTTAAAGTGGCTGAGGTTGAGAAATACTGCTCTGGGTGGATCAAGGACCAGGGTTCGTAACCTTTTTGGCCACGGAGCTCTTTGACAATGTGGTGAAACCGGTGGACTCCTTCTTGGAAAAATGTATTTAAACGCATCAAATAAAATACTTAACTATCAACTGTATCACAGAGGAAGCCAGTGAGGCTCCAATATTGTTATCAACTTATTTAAAAACAACTCCAATGCAATCTATGTGGTTCTTTATTAATCAATATGATCAATGTAGATAGTGAGGTGGGTCGAAATGGAACATTTCTGCAGTCTAGAGGCCACCAGTGACTTATTGCCCATCAACCTATTGATTGCCTTATGTTATTATTCAAAAGCTACATTTCTGCTCGGGGTTAGTGAAAATCACACTGTAATTTCTTTGTCCTCCAGGTTCATGGATGAGAGAAATCTGCAGACCCCCAAAGGGGTCTGTGAATCTCAAATTAAGAGCCCCTGATCTCGAAATTTAGGTCCACAATGCTTCAAAAAGGGAGATTTTTACCTGCCCCCCAACACGCAGAGTTTTAAAATGACAAAAGTGTCTTCTCCTCCCCCCCGCCAAAGAACCCTCTTTGTTCATTTTTCTCTTGCTTGCAATGGAAGTTTCCAAGTTTCCCACACCGTCCCAGTTCTTAAACCTGGATTAACAAAACATGGTGGCTGCGTTCCCAGCGGTCAGACAAATAAACCATTGTCAGTTTTAACCAGATGGCCTGCTGCCTATAGCTTGCTAAGAACAAGGGTTAGGTTCCCACAACCTGCTCCGTCACAAAGCACCCAACATGATTTCAACCTCATCCAAGCCTCTTACGCCAAGCCGGCAATGTGTAAAATAAGCCATGGAAATAGGGCTCTGTCTGAAGATGCAGAACAACCATCTCAGGTTTACATTTTGCAAACCTTTAGCATGCAGGGAAGGTCTGGGTTCGATTCCTTCCAAGGATACAACCAGGCCTTCATGGCGTGCACTCAGAAGACAGTGGATGAGCGTGTAACTCCCAAAATCTCCATTTTTATCGACAAGGCAGTCGATAGCAATTGTCTTCTACTGTTCAATGCCATCGTCTTATTACAGAACCCCTTGTGGGGCTCTGCGTTCTGCATCCCTGTTGGACTGGCAGCTTTTTAATGCTTTGAAGGCACTGGGGGAATTAAGAAATTAAGTTGGCATGGCCCTGGTGACATTTTGAACCTCCTGAGTCCCCAGATTTATCCATTCCGGCTTCCCCCCATGGCTTCCGGTGTCCCAGCGAATTGCCCGGAAACGGGCCAGCTCTGCGCAAGGGGAGGAGCAGCCAAATTGGTCTCCGTTATTCTGGAATTCAGCAGCCTTTCTTTCCCTGCTTCCTTGTTCTTCCAGTTACGGGGTGCTGCTTTGGGAGCTGCTGACTGGCGAAGTTCCATACCGGGGAATTGATGGCCTGGCGGTGGCGTACGGGGTGGCCGTGAACAAGCTGACCCTTCCGATACCGTCCACGTGCCCGGAACCCTTTGCGCGTTTGATGACGGGTAAGAGAAAACATCCCAGAGGCTGGATTTGGGAATTTGCTCCACAGCTCTGGGACAAAAAAGTCTCTTTAAGATGCTTCCCTTCCCCTCTGTTTCCCCAGCTGAAATTTATGCTTACAGCCCCGTTCCCCAAATGATACCATCCTGGAGGGGTTGGACTGCCCATTATCCCCAGCCATTCTACCTAGAGGGTACAGTACAGGTTTAGGGAATGACTAGAATAGACGTGGAGTATCTCCTGCGTTTGATACTCATCTGAGTAACGAGTTAGGATGGGAAGCAAATAAATAAAACATAAAACGATAAGTTATCTTCTTGGATCATTTTTTCTTTTTCTTTTCGCTTTTGCATACATAGTTGTCATGTAACTAATCTCTGATAAACCTGCCAGTATTTTTCCTATTTACTTGATTGCTGGAAACAAAATACAACAAATATTGGAAAACATCATTATTCGCCTTTCCTACGTAAGCTGGTTAAAACATGGCGGGCTTTAGTCATTAGCAACTTCCTACAAAAAAGAACAGCTGTTTTAACTTGTAATGTTAATAATTTCCTTTCTCTTTGAAAACAATGTTCTGTTCTTAAAGGAAGAAGAACTGAATATATTTGGCTGGAAAAAAAAAGATGAACTAAAAAAAAACACTTACCAAAAATGCATCTAACTCTTATGGAAATAGGAAGGCGAGAAAGGGAGGAAAGAGAGGATGAGATAAAACAGTGATGCCCGGGAATCAAATCAATCATAAGTACTGAATTTAATCCTTTGGGCATCAAACTACTTAAAGGCAGAATGCATTTTATTTCTTTTCTTAATAAAAGCATTTCATTGCTGCTCTTACTTTGTTCTCTGGCCCCCAAATGTAGCTTTGTAATCTGGCTCTTTTTCCCCCTAAAGTATTTTAAATAAGGGCTCCTATTTTCTCTAAATGTTCACCAATTCTAACTTTAAGGCTCTTAAGCGCACGGGTATTAGGACAGGAGCACTTTATGGCAGAAACAACATTTCTAAGCTTTCCCAGGATCTCCTTGTGCTGGATTGCAATGTATTTTTGCAATGTTTGATTCATGTGTCTTTGTTTCGCGGTATTTGTGAGAAAGAACTTTATCCAAAATCCACGGAGCTTTTATGCAAATAAATGTTTGCACTGGAATTTGGGAACTTTCCGCCTTTTTGCATGTTTTTTAAATACCTGTGCTCTTTTCTTCCGTTTGCAACGGCAAAAAGCTTCTGTGTCCATGAAGTTAATAGGAGTCTCAACTTAATATCTTAAGCAATAAAATACATACATAAGCGTGTGTGTGTGTGTGTATTATAAATGTGTATGTGTAAATACACACACAAATATGCACACGTATACACACACATATGTATATATATTTATACACATACAGAAGTGATAGGGCAGTCACCAAAATAAATATCAGTCACTGCAATTTATTTTTATTATTAATCATTATTATCTCCTGCAGATACATCGTTATTACATTTTTAATTTTTTTTCATTAGTGTTGTTTTCGTGATTCACCGCCAGATTTTTACTGCTCTATTACTTCTGGGACCCCCTAGAATTTAAACAGTGATTTAAATGGTGATTTAAAAAAAGGAAAAGAATACTAAAGCTTAATGTCTTGAGCAATAATTTAAAAAAAAAGAATTCATACATTATTTAGACATTCAGCGCTCAACAAAATATTAAATGTGAAAAACCAGCAAAATAAAGAAATATTTCTTATTCACTCACGCACGCACACCTACAAGTAAAAGAAAAACATTGAGAGTATCTAGAATTACATTTGCAGTTTTAAGATTATATCTTAAGATCATCCTTGCCAGACTTGTGATCAACTCATTCGGTTGCCCTGAGCAAGCAAATCTTGCTGGAAGCGCTGGTGCTCCCACTGACCACTTTGGCTCCAATAAAGGTCCAGGTCTTTGTTCAGCCGCACTCCTCCTCCTCTGCTGGGCATCTGTTAGGAACATCAGCCGTGCCCTGCTGGAGCGGAGCCCTGGCCCACCCAGCCCAGCGCTCTGCTCCCCCAGGGGCCAGCCGACTGCCCAAGGAAGCCCACTCCTCTCCCGGCAGACGGCCATCAGGGGCTGTCCCGCTGCCATCAAGGCGAACAGCCCCTGATCCTTGGGAGTTCCAGGAATCGGTCCAACCCTTTTTGGCAGCCAGCCAAGCTGGTAGCCAGCACCACTTCATGCAGTATTGGAAGCTAGTTGTTGCCCTCACGGGGTTAACCAGATAGGAATCACCACCAGATGAACTAATTCTACAGTATTGTAAAGCTACATTAACAGATCTTGCAAGTCTGAAACTACAATTCTCCCCCTGTCTCCTTTACAACCTGAGAAACTAGAGAGGGTCCCTTCTGAGCCTCTTTCTCCACCCATTATGCAGCTGAGGACTATGCTCCCTCTTATCTGACCGTTCCCTTGGCAGCATCTCTTGGCCCAGTCTCCCAAGGTCCTTCCCACATGCCATTACAGCAGTCTCCATCTTCTCTTCTGTAACCTTTCAAGCTGTCTCTGAAGGAGAATGTGGTGCCTGTCTTACATACAGCTCTTAGCACATTCCTGGGCATGGGATTCAAACAGGTTCAGCCCCTCAAAGTTGCACAGTCTCCATGGGGCGGCTGATTAACCCCACCGACAGTAGTTTGACTTCTCTACCTTTTGTTTCCCTCCTCTGCCCCCTTCCATGTCGGTCCCGCTAGAGTGCTGGCAACAGGACCCGCACGCGCGCCCCAGCTTTGCCTCCATCCTGGCCCAGCTGACGGTTCTAGAAACTCAGGTGCTGTACGACCTGCCACAGGAATCCTTCCACTCCATGCAGGACGACTGGAAAGTAGAGATTCAGGACATGTTTGATGAGCTGCGTGCCAAAGAGAAGGTGAGGACCGGAGGGGAAAGGCTGGGGAGGGGGGCCCGTGTCCAAAGAGGGCTCAGACACTGTCGCGGTGCACGGAGGCAAAATGTGCATGTTTTACTTTTGACTAAAGGAGAACCATCTCTGGCTGTTTGCAGCCGTGCTCAACTAAAATAGGCTGGAGGCAGCAGATTTCCCACTCTTGCTTCAGCATCACTGGCTGAAAAGTTACAACAACAATAATAATAATATCCTAAATATTTGGAAGTTGTAAATTTACTGGCCTTCGCATCACTGATTTTGCAAAAAAAAAAAAATTACTTGGAACTTCCAGCATACTATGGCAATCCCTTTAGAACCCAAAATACCCAGTCTTAAGACTGTGAGGTCAGGAGCAATTGCAAATGAGTGGATTTTTGATTTGGGTGTAGTGGCTCTGTCTCATTTTCCCAGAACGCTCCAGGATGACTGGGTGGGGGATTCTGGGAAAAAAGAAAGGAGACTTTCAAAATCACTACCGTCGCAACCAGAAAATGAAGCTCAGAATAATCCCTCCTTGGTTTCGTTAGCCTAAACGCGGGACAGAGAGAAACCTGGATAGGCTTTCGAGATCCTGTTACTATAATAAAGCAGCATTGCTGGGACCCCTGCAGTGTCTGCTCTTGATCTGGCCTACCTTGGAGGGCTGACGGTACCACCAGAATCAGCCAACTTGGCAGCCTTGCAAGACGGGAAGATTTCACAAGATTTGGGGGGAGGGAGGGGACTTTGCACGGTCTCCCAGGACCATGTTGAAATTTTGCCCGCTCTGCCTTCCGTCTCCCGGGAACTCCCTGGGAACCCTGCGACGTCACGCGGGGGGCGACGCTTGGGAGCTTCCAAGCCGGCCCAGGAACGTCCCAGGTCTCCGCCCTGCAGCTGCCCCTTTTTGCCCTGTCTCGAGGCAGCACCCTTTGGCATCTGTTCCTCCCCAGGAGCTGCTGAGCCGCGAGGAAGAGCTGAAGCAGGCGGCGCTGAAACAGAAGTCCCAGGAGGAGTTCCTGCGCCAGCGGGAGCACGAGCTGGCCCAGTGGGAGCTGGAGGTCTTCGAGCGCGAACTCAGCCTCCTGATCCAGCAGATGAACCGCGACCGGCCCCACGTGAAGAAGCGGAAGGGGACCTTCAAGAGGAACAAGCTCAAAGGCCGGGACGGCGAGCGCATCAGCATGCCGCTCGGTAGGAGGGCGGAGGGGGAGGAACGGCAGGGTGGGAATTGGGGCCCCTGGAAAGGGGCTTGGGGGGGCTGTGGCCCACATCGCTCCTCTGAATGCCCCTCCGATGCTTGGGCAGGTCCTGTCATTCATTTCAGTTTGCAATGGCAATGGACCACCATTCTCAGGGACTCTGGAAATACAGGTGTCACACTCAGGAATCCTGGGAAATACATGTGGTGCCCTCAGGGATTCTGGGAAAAACATGTGATACACTCAGGGATTCTGGGAAATGCATGTGGTGCACTCAGGAATCCTGGGAAATAAATGTACCCTTGGGGATTCTGGGAAAAACATGTGCAGTCAGGGATTCTGTGGTGCACTCAGGGATTCCTATAAAATAAATGTGGTACACTCAGGAATCCTGGGAAATAAATGTGGTGCCCTCGGGGATTCTGGGAAAAACATGTGATGCATTTAGGGATCCTGGGAAATAAATGTGGTGCACTCACCTGCCAGGAGACTGTGTTCAATCTGGGGGCAATTAAAAATGGCGCCCCTCCAACTCATTTGCTCCGTGTAGAGCAATCCTGTGTTGTCTGAGAAGTCCACTGTCTTATTCACCTTTGAAGAAAAATTACCATCAGTCCCAAAACAGGGTCGAATAAAACCGACCAAAGTGCCCCAGATCCCCATAGGAAAAAAAACAGGCAGAAGTCCAAAGTTTGGAACCTGCGGCGTTCCAGAAAAACGAGAAAAATCTTTCTAAATATCCCAAGTTAAAAGCAGGCAGAGTTCCCAAAGGTCAGATCGCACATCTGGATTCTGACAAGCGCAGAAGCGCGCAGGGACTCACCCAGCCGCGCCAGTTCATCCCAGATAGCAGGTAGATCTTTTGTTAATTTGACTCAGTTCAGTGCTGAGTTACCTGAGTTAACCCAACTGTTAACTGCCCAGAGTCGTGGAGGGTTGAGCGGCATACAACTTTAATAAATTATTATTATTATGGTTGGTCGCATAGTCGGCCAGATGTTTAGGCTAGATTTGGCATTTTTATCCACCGATCGAGTCGTTCCCAAGGACCTGGGATAGGCAGATGTTGTTGGATGGTGTCAAAGGTATCGTTGCAGGATGTAAACTATTCCACGCAAACCTGCCTTTTGCAATGGACCGATGGTGATTTTGTCAGTGCTGAAGGTCTTCAAGGGGTGCTCCAGATGTTTAGGGATTGCACCCAAGGCGGCGGCGGCTGCTGCTGCTGCTGCTGCTGCTGCTGCTGCTGCTGCTG